CACTGCGACGTTTCCCCCCCTTTCCCGCAGAGCAGCGTGAAATTGATAAACAGATTTCGGAATGGTTAGAGAAACAAAAAATATGCCTTTATCAATTTTTTTGCAGCAATTCCACTTTTTGTTTGATGGACATCGAAACATGCTTTTCTTTTGTAGATCCTTTGGCAGCTCCAGAATTGGAAACTCTTGTTGACATAATTGAAAGTTCAAGCTTACTTTTTATAAAATTACTCTAACAGTCTGCAAAAAATTATAAGCCAGATCCAATTAGAAGATTAAGGAACAACACAATCTGCAACATTAACTAAAATAGATAATTAGGTAATTTTAGTCTAGCTTATACCATCCATTATACACTAAACGTGCATGCGTAAAGGTATTATGTGCATGCGCAGAAAGTTTGTAGCTTTGAGGTCCGGATTATAGATCCTTCCCGATTATGGACATCTGGTTTAAAGACTTTGTACTATAGTAAGTTTTCAATATACGCACTGTATATAAACTAATGTAGAGATTAGTTTCAATGAATGAAAAAAATGTAGCTATTCTTTTACACTAAATTATAGTAAAACAAATGAAGTATTCATTTTGTAGTTCTGTACATTATGACAGGTTAAAAAACTGGAAGCAAAGTTTTGAAGACCAGTGCAATGAAAAATGTACCTAAACCTGAGTTCGATACTAATGTGCACTGCGGGGGAAAAAAAGGGGGAGACAATTCTAAATCTCCCGTTCTACTGGGACGATTGACAAAATTCAAATTATGTTTTTCTTGTCTTGAAAGTGTGACTTAAGATATATATTAGATTTATATATAGCATTCTTGTAACATAGGTATTTTGATTCAAAATCGGACTTTTTCTGAAATAACATACCAATTCTTTCTCATATTTCGATTCTATGACTCAAATTATGCCTAGATATTAAATTTTGTAAAATTTGGCAAACTTCTTAATATCTGGCAACCTATTTTCCTTACCCTTCCATTATGCCGGAATGGAAAAAAAGCCACCTCTTTATCTTTTTACATTGTGGATGAGCGGGAAAAAAGTCACATTATTCCTACTTTCAAATAGTTTTAACAAAGTGCTTAAGCCACATTTTCATTATTATCACTTTCAACAAATATGCCAAATTTTAAAATGCGCCAATATATAAATTCACGTATATCCTCGGAAGTTTTGAATAAAAAGCTCTAATTTTTTGCAGGTATGCTTAGAAACAAATACTTGTACTTTAAGATGATTCTAAATATTTTATAGGTTATATATCAAAATTTTTTTCGAAAAATTTAGAAAAATTAATTAAAAATACAAATTTTAAAAATAAATCTTGAAAAACAGGTGAATTTTATTTGGAATGAACCTAAATTTTGAACAGTGTGAGAAGGAATCAAATAAGTTGTATAAAAAACGAGATATTAATAAATACATACCAAATTGAATTAATATTGAAGAGCTAAAATTTTGAGAGCTAATTTTTTTAAAAACTATTTGTGCGATTTTTAAAAAACTTGCTCATTTGGCATAATTTGAGTTGTAGAATCCAAATATGGAAAAAAATTGGCATGTCACTTCAGAAAAAGTACGATTTTGTGTCAAAATGCCTAGGTTAGAACAGTGCTATATATAAATCTAATACATATCCTAAGTCATGCTTTCGGGACATGAAAATCACAAGTTGAATTTCTCCAATCGGCCCAGTAAAGTGGGAGATATAGAACTATCCTAATTTAATTTTTTCCCCCGCACTGTGTACCTTATTATTCATGCTTTCAGGAGGCATCCATTCAAGAAAAACTGTAAATGATGAAAATTATACCTAAAAGATTAAAAGACTATTGAAAGTCAGAAGATATCGGAACAGAAAATGAAAGAAATGTTGAAGACATGATCTCATGCTATGATCATAGGAGTTTATAATTTAGGATTCAAGTACAAGCAAATAACATTAAAGGACAATATGGAAGTGGAAGCTGTTCAGTAAGATTTCTGAATGAAAACTTTAAATGAAATTTTTCTTTAGAAGGACAGTTAATTGATCACTTTCTCAAGTGCAGTCATCTCATTAAAAGGAGACTGAATTCAGTAGAAACAAACAAAAATATTTTGGGGATACCTTATGAAGTGCTACGCTAAGATTTCAAAAAGATAAAGAAACAAAACTCTCTAAGAAAGTTTTTTTCCACCTTGCACCTTAAATAAACTTCCTCTATTTACATTGTTACCATTTCAACTGAAATTATTCAATTATACATCTTTCACCAAAAAAGAGAACAGTTTTCAAATCTAAAAAAGAGGACAGGCCAAAAAAGAGGACAGTTTTCAAATCTAATATATAGCTTAAATCGCACTTCCGAGACGTGAAGAACGCAAGTAAACTTTCGTCAATCGGTTCAGTAGAATGTTCTACCATTCTCCCATCTACCGTTTTACTGGGCCGATTGACGAAATTTTACTTGCATTTTTATCTCGGAAGTGCGACTTAAGCTATATATTAGATTTATAGTATATAGCATTGCTCTAACATAGGTATTCTGGCACAAAATCGGACTTTTTCTAAAATAACATACCTATTTTTTCTATATTTTGATTATGAAACAACGTACCTATTTTTTCCATATTTTGACTCATATTATGCACAATATTAAATTTTTAGTGAGAAATTTAAAAATTTTTCTTTGTGTGTTTTTCCAGTTTGCAGCAAGAATAATTCACTAGGCAAAATTCTTAATTTATAGTAACCTGTTTTCCTTTTCCTTTTTTTTTTTTTTTTTTTTTTTTTTTTTTTTTTTTTTGTTGTGCACAAGCGGAAAGAAAAGTGCAATTTTCATTCTTTCAGATAATTTTAACAAAGTGAATAAAGCACATTTGGCATAATTATTGTTTATAATGAATATGCCAAATTTTAAAATGCACCAATACATAAATTCATGTATATCTTGGGAAATTTGGAATAAAAAACTCTGAAATTTTGATTCAGGTATGCCTAGAAATACATATTCTTTAAAGTGATAGTAAAACTTTTATAGGTTACAATTCAAAATATTTTTTTTTCTAAAAACTTATTAAAGTTAGATCAGAAAATATCTGTGAAGTTTATTTGGATATAATATAAATTTTGAACTGTGAAAGAAGAAATTGAGTAAGTCTAATAAAAGAATATATATTAATAAATATATACCAAATTCTAACATTGAAGAGCTAAAATTTTGAAAGCTAATTTTTAAAAAAAACTACTTGGGCATTTTTTACAAAAGTTGTTACTTTGGTGTAATTTGAGTCCTAGAATCAAAATATTGGGGGGGGAATCCATAATTCATTTTAAAAAAGTCCATTTTGGTGTCAAAATACCTATGTTATGTTAGAGCAATGCTATATATAAATCTAGTATAAATCCTAAGTCATGCTTTCGAGACATGAAAAACACCAGTTAAATTTCATCGATCCACCCAGTTGAACAAGAGATGTAGAATTGGCCCATTTTTCTTTTTTTTTTTCTTTTTTTTTTTTAAATTTATTTTTAGCAGAGTGTAGATTAATGCTGAATGGCACATATGTTTTGTATGTTATAGCAATACTTTGGCTTTTGTTTATGTTTCTGTCCCTGAGAATTAGGGTCTGGTTTCATTTCATTTTGGTCATATATTTTGTAGGTATCTAAATATTTAAACAGATGCTAGAAAATGCCACCTATTTTTAATAAATTTATTGTTGGGAATTGAAATTGTTTAGCACTGAGTACTATCAATGTTTTGTTTTCAATTAAAGGATATTAATAAATAAGTTATTTAATTTATAAATTATTTTAATGCAATAAATTTGCTAACTTATTTTAATTTAATAAATTTAATGACTATCTCCTTAAATGCGAAAACTTAAGGATAATTTAATCCTAAATCTTAAATAAAATTGTTTTGAAAAATCATCATTTAGCTTTAGAACCTTTTAGGTCAGAGGTTCTCAGACTTTAAAAATTTTTTGTCTTATAAATATTAAAAAAAATATATGCACCATCATGTATCAATATCGGTACCAAAAGGGGTGCTATTTTACATTTGTTTAAGTCTTTTGTGTAAAAACTATTCCATCAAAAATATAATATACCGTTAGTGGTACATGTAGCATAGTTTGAGAAACCCTCTCTTAATTGACTTGGAAAGAAGAAATAATGTGCGACAGCTTGTGGTATAAATTTTGGTGCATATTTAAATTTATGTTATTTTAACTATATCTATATTTTATGATTTTTTAAAAATATTTTGTTTTATATGCTCAGTTATTTGTATTTTCTGTTTTTGTGGAAAATAAAACATTTAATTAGAATTTTATATTTTCCTTTTATAAGATTAAGTATGAGCCCTTTGTTAAAACTTCCATAGCTCACTTCTGCTTATGTTGTACCAAACTTATCTTTTTGTTTATCCTCATATTCTTATTATCCATGGTTTCACTGTCCTTGGACTATTAAGAGAAAATAACCTCCATGAGTAATAAGAGATCACTGTAATTTAAAAGCACAGTTTAATATGTTTTTACCTCAGATAAAGTATATCTACAGCAAATGTAAAAAAAAAAAAAAAAAAAAAAAATCAAAAATACATATTGAAGAAAACTTAAGAATTTAAAAGAAATAATAAAGTGGTGAAGAGTTGTGATACGTCTATTTGTTTTATGTGCTTTAAATTATGCAATTTTAAAAAAACTACATTTATTTATTTAACTATGATTTTTCATAGGATTTTTTTTAAGTAACATTTCTTTGTTGTTAATAAAAAGGAAATTTATGTTCAGTTCTTATTCAGGAAATGTGTCAATCCCCTTTTCTTAATTAAATCTAATGTCAGCTGTCTTATCTTTTCTGTAGTTTATTGCTTTACTTAATGAGTACTGACTACTACTGTTGAAATTTTTTCAAATGTGATTTATTATTTTGTTTGACGTTATAAATTACTTTATTATCAATGTAAAATATCTGAATTCATTTTCCTTTATATACAGGCTTTCTTCTGATCAACCAGTAGAAGAAGAACAGGTATTACTTAATTGAAAATATTTTAATTGAGTGTATTCTACATAAATATTTTAAATTTATACAGACAGAAGGAAGAAACAAAATATTTATCTTGTTTTTTATGATTCGGAAACTTAAGTATTTCTAATAAGAAAGAATAATTAATCAGTGAATAAAGTTAAACTTGTTTCTTTCTCTTTGTAATAATTTACTAGCTGAAAAATTTATATTCTTTATAGGTATAGCAGAAGTCTAGTATTAAATATTCTACAGTTCTCATAAAATAATTATTTGTGTCAAACTTATAAATTTTTCATTATATTAAACTTTAAAAAAGTCAAAGGTTTGTATTCATATTAAATTTTTAAACTGGCAGATAGTAATGAAATTCAGTTAAAATTTAATTAGTGTGTGGGAATTACAATTCTAAATTAAAATAGTGGTGAATCTGGAATAAAAAAGCATTTCGTCTTTCAAAAATTTGCCTAGTGGCAGTCACTTTCATTATTCTTTAGACCTATATACAAAAGCAATGAAATTCTAATGAGATTAAGGAAAATTATGTATTGTAATTCCATACCTTATCTTATTATAAAAAATTATAAGTAGATTTAGCACAACTACTAAATTCAAATGCATTGCATATTAAAATATAATTTAAAAGTGAATGGCATGTTCAAAAAGGATAAGCCTTCACTTCATATACTATGAATATGGTACCAATTTAATTAAATATAGTTACTGTCTTCTATGATTTTCAAAATCTGAATTAAAAAATCTGTTTGAACTATTGTTGTTACGTATAACTTTATAGAAAATGGATCCATCACATCTGGTATCACAAAAGAAAGAGATATAAAGTTTATAATAAAGTATATAGAGCAGAAAGAAACTTAAATAAAGCAAAATAGAAACCAAGAATGCATAAAAGTGAAAACCATTCAGATCATTAAAATTCTGGCATTTTAATATAACTTGAAAATATTTAAACTTCTGAATATCTTCATCTAGACCTGGACATGCCAGAAGAACATTCCAGTTTATCAGATTAGTGGTAAATAGGGCATATATTTGTTGAAAGTGTATTTTTATCTTGTTTAGGTATTCAGCTAGACAATCATGTAATGTCATCAGGTTTATATCAGGGCAGAATCATGAAAAATGTGCAGTGCTGTCATAGGAACTGAAACTTCGGACCTTTTGAGTGTTAGCTGGATATGCTTTCCAATTACACCGTAAAGGTACATAATAAAGAGGGGAAAAACTTGACTATAATAGCCCATTTTTAGACAAATTTTTGATTGCTTCCTTTTGTGGATTTCAACTGATAAGTTACAGAGCTTTTTAATGTTTAATGATTCAGTTCAACTTTTTTTTTTATTTCTTAATTTTAAAAATGCAGTGATTTAAATAAAAAAAGTAAATTTATTAATTTAATAATTAACCTAATATGAAATTTTTATACAGTAGGAGAATTCAGTTTAAAGAAGTTAACAAATGAGACAAGAGCATTCTGACATGGAATGTAAAATATAATTTTGATACTTTGTATGTGTCTTTTAATAAATTGCTCACTTTTATCAATATTTTACTGGTTTTCTGAATATTTAATGGTTCTAATTAAATGAAAAACTCATAATATTTTAATTGCTTTTAAAATATTTATTTATTTAATTTTTTAATAAATTAAGAATTTCTTCTTTATATTATTTAGTATTTCAAATAAGTATTGCATATTTTACAGGAAAATGTATTCTTTAACTTACGTATTCATACTTATATGTGATTGTAAAAAATAAAATAACAAATACAGTCAAAAGTCGATAGTCCGGACTCGTCGGGACTTCGGCGATTCCAGATTATCGATTTTTCCGGATTATAGATCATCAGTTTAAATCTGGGAAGATGGCATGCAGAAATTATAAAATTAAAAATATGAAACCGTAATTTATGAAATAAAGAACAATTATGATCTAAAGAATATCAAAATTTACAAAAAAAGCTTAATATTTATTTGTTTACTTTATTAAACATTTCTTTCTATGTAAGTTGTTTAAGTTGCTTTGTTTTATGTGATAATACTTTCTCTTTAATTCTATAAACAGACATAATTTCTTGTTCAGTTACAAAGTTCCACTGTTCAAGTTCTATAATTGCTGTGTCGAGAATACCAACTAATTTGTTAATAGAAATTTTTTCGTTTCCAATAACCTCTGTGTCACTTTCTTCACTATCTGAAGCGAATTATAATGATGAGGAATTTGATGATTTAAATCATATCAAAGATGGAGTACATCGAGATGAAATACTACATTTAGTAAGGAATTATAAGTCGAATAAAATAAAAACATCTGCCCTGAAGATAAGGATAGTGCTGACAGATCAACTCCTAATTCATTGTGCGCCGCAACTCCCCACCTTCCCCGCCGCAGAGCAGCGTGAAATTGATAAACAGATTTCGGAATGGTTAGAGAAACGAAGGATATGCCTTTATCCATTTTTTGCAGAGTTCCACTTTTTGTTTAATGGACTTCGAAACATACTTTCGCTTTGTAGCTTTACATATTAGTAAATATATATTGGAAATTCTATTTGACATAATCGAAAGTTCAAGCTTACTTTTATAAAATTGCTCTAACAGTTTGCAAAAAATAATAAGCCGGATCCAATTCGAAGATTAAGGAACAATGCAATCTGCAACATTAACTGAATTAGATAATTTTAGCTTAGCTTATACTGTTCATTATACATTAGACGAGCGTGCGTAAACGTATTATGTGCATGCGCACATGCATATTCGCAGCCGTTAAGGTGTTACGTCAACGCAATGCATGCGCAGAAAATTTGTAGCTTTGGGGTACGGATTATGGGTGTCCGAATTAACGACTTTTGGCTGTATATATCTGTTTATGTTGTATTTTAATGTCAAATATTCTGCATTATTCTGGCTGAGATTTTTGATAAAACTGTGATTTGAAATGAATGTATCATTAGAAAAATACCTGCCAAAGATGGGATGTATTAGCCTAGAAAAGTCTTCTCTGTTGTCTACTTTTTATTATATTGAGGTTATTTAAAGACCCACTGCATTTTAAATTAGAATTAATATTTATAAATTGCTAAATAATTTTCTTTCCTTGTTACACTGTGGGTGTGTGTAATAATTTATTGAAACATTTTAGGAATGGACAAGTGGTATTGCTCATTACTTAACTTCCAAGTTTCCTCTTCCATCTATTAAGATTTCTTCAACTATCAACTCATCAGATCCTGATGAAACTTGTGATGAAGTCTTTTCGGGTGACGATGTTCTTCCTGAGGTAAGTGAAAGATGAAATTGTTAAATGTTAATTTTGATGTTTTCAAATGATTTACTACATAATATCATTTGATTCCTATCATTTCAATTGGTTTTTTATAATCACCACTACTACAATAGATCATGATAGAAGAGAAGGGAGCAATTTTTTTGGAGACAGAACATAAATGATGAAAAAGCAATAGATCTGTTATGTAGTAGCCACTCAGGAGCCCATATTTTTACTCACTCTTCACCTTTCCTGCCACATCAGATCTTTAGCAGGAGACTGTATATTGTTATCTTTAATTGATTGATGCTTTAATTTACATGCAAACATTTCTTAATGTTCTATCTAGTGCAGTGCAGTATTGCCAAACACAAAGGTTACATCATTAACATATTGTGCACAGGGCAAAATCATATTCCACAAAGTTAACTTTCTATGGAAAAAAATGGGTTAGGTATAGTTCAGAATCAAGAAAGTATGTATACTTTATACAAATCTAAATATATTACCTCTAGTAAATAAATACCTCTGCTTATTAAAATCACTTCTTTTCTAATCATATATGAATTCTGAATGTAATAAACAGTGATCTATATACATTGCAAACCATGATATTAATTTTAAAATTTTCAAAAAAATAATAAGTAGCAATCAATTTGTTAATTAATCCTAAAATAATAATCAAAAATTAATACTAAAATATTTATGAAGTTTTCATAGTAATTTTTTAATTTTTTATAAAAATATTTTTATGATTACATTTCTGATGATATTTTATCTCTTACAGACAACTATTCGAACTGTGTTTGTTTCATATTGTTTAACGACAGTTTTTCAGCTGTATTCACAGTTGCGTTAAACTGCTGATAGTTATTTTGATCAGCATCTTCCAGTTCAAGAATTTTTCTTAGAATTTGCTGTGTTTTTCTAGATTTGATTGATGATAGCATGTTAACACTTTTACCTGTATCACTTCTGTTGACAGTTTCTGCAGTTCTTTAAACACTTTCCCAATCAGCTTTTATATAGGTTGTTCTTAATTGACACATATTCTAAATATGAATCCTCATAACTACCCTCGCTGATATCTAAAACATTAGCTATAGTTTGCAATGTCTCTGAGGCTTCTTGTACATAAAAACCATATTTTCTAAAACAGTTTTTAACTGAGCTTAAGAAATTAAGCCCTGCATTGACTATGATATGCATTGCTTCTAGCAGATATATCAACTTACTTGAGATAAGTGATTGCATTTTCACAAAATTTGCTCTTTCTTTGTTAATTGCTCTTTCACCTCCTGTCAGTTGGTATCGGAGAAGGAACCTTCACTCATTTACGATGCTTCTAGGGAATTTTCTTTGTTAACTGTAAGGAAATTTTGCTGCTATGAAGTCCAGTGAGAACAAAGAACTCTGAAAACAATGTCTCAAAGGTTATAGAGACCAGAAGGTAGAAAAATTTTGGTCAAACCCTTTTATTGAAGCACTGCATACCTGAAAGATAAAGTTACACTTCACAATACGGAACAATGTTAAGTCCTGATAGGTAAAAGTAGAACATTCTGGCTCTGAAGAATAATTTTTTTTTTTCTTTAATCCGAGTGTAATAGTTGATGGAGATAAGTTTAATAAATGGTAAATTTCAATTGATTAGTCTGTATTTGTTTTAGTTTCTGAAAATGTTAATGTAATAAGTGACTGAATTTATTAACCAGTGAGTTTAATAAGCGGTGGGTACTGTGATTTTGTAATTAAAAGGGAAAAATTAAACAAATGTTAATTGAAAGGATTTATCTGATGTACTTATTAAATGTTTTGCAATAATGTTTTCATTATTTTCAACAACCTTCATTCTTGTCCCATTGATCATCTCAACATTCGATTATTCATGATCATCATTCTCAACTAAATTTTTTTTTTTTTTTAATTTCTCCTTCTTCTATATCTGAAAAATCCTTTGCTGTGTATTGCTTTTACATTTTGTACAATTTCTTTGGCTTCATTTTTGATCAATGGAAATCCTTTAAAATTCTTGAAAACTTCTTGCCGGAGGTGATGCCATTGTTGATGAATTCACTTGTTTCCATGCGAGTTTAATCGTTTCTAAGAAAAAATTTTCTTACTTACAGATCTGGTTGCTTGTGAATAAAAATTTATAACATTAATTTTTTTTATTATTCAGAAGTTTTCTGTTAACTGATAGCTATCAACTTTTGGTTGCTTAATAGCTTAATGTAATTATTGAACCCTTACATATAATATTAATCATGGAAAAATTTGGGTATATATATATTTTTTTTTTGAAGAAGAATTGTTTCTTTATGGACTAATTAGTTTTTTCATTTTATATTTTTTATTTTAATGATTTTAATTACATTTGATGTAAGAGATTTTTTATATATAATTGTTTCTTATAGCATATTGTTACTGCTCTAGAGGAACAATGTGTTGAAGCTCTAGCATCACCAGTATTAGCCAGCACTTCAAGTCACATAGATATATTAAAAAAAACTTCCATAAGGAAACTTTCTGGAGATAAATCTCCAAAAGTATGTTATTGTTGTTATAATTTTTTTTCTCTTGATATTGAAATAATAAAATGTTATATGTAAACAAAATTAAAAAAAAAAAAAAAGTTGCATTAACTTTAGTATTTCTGAAAAATTAAGAATTTATCAATACACAGAAGAATTGTTATTAGAATTGCATCTTTTTCTGGTTAAAAAGTGCACCTTTTGCTTTGTGGCAATCATTTCAATATTCCTTCAGACTTGCATATAAAAGCAATGAAATTAATTTCAGATTGAAGACAGTTATACATGTAATTTCAGATTTTGTGTCATCATCAAAAATCATTTTTAAAGTAGATTTTGCATCTTAATGTTTATATATGTATGCTCATTTCTATTTATTGCATTTCTTTCTTTTTCCTTGTTTTTTGTTTGTGTGTGTTAAAAATTGTTTTCATGTAGTTAGAAATTACTAGATATTATCAATATCAAGTAATTTGTTTATATTTTTCAAATTTATTAGAACTATACTCATACGTAAGTAAAATGCAGTATAATTCATGGTGTGATTTCTACAAAGAGAATCTGAAAGTGATTTTGTTAACTATTAGCATTTAGACATGGGTGTACAAGTGCTTCAGCTACTTCTAGATATTTCCTAAATATCCGAATGCTTCCCAAATACCAGTAGGTGCCAAAGGGTGCTTTGTTGCAGTGTGTACTTAATGTTTTTAGGGTGTGAGATAAGTACCTCTGTTCAAATCGCTTCAGGCACTATTTGTCCCCAGGGCTGAGGAAACAATCTGAATTGTCCCTAAATGTGTGTTGTGTATGTAGTTGCAGGATGTGATTACTCATTTACTGTACTGCTTGACCAGGCCATTAGATTAAAGCCATGAGAGTGATGTGTGCAATGGCTCATACATATAATTTATGTTTTGCTTTTTGATTTATTTATATCTTATTATGCAATTGGAAATACTGGGCAATGCATCATTGCATTTTGTACAAATGTATTTTATTAGCAATACACAATTTTTAATTTTTTTTATTCTGTTTGTTTAAAAAGCAGAAACACATTTAAAACTGATAAATCTAAACTCTATGAGTAGTTTTTTAGTCCACATGAAAATCTAAAAATTTGTCCACCAAATGCATGTGAATTTGACATTTGATTGCTGAGATCTACAAACCGCATGTTCATATTATAATTTAAAATTATAATAGATTCTTCACTTGTCAGTTGTTTTCCCCTAATTCATTCCACAGATATATTTTATGCAATACAAGATTTTGCATGTTTGTCAGTATGAATATATGCGTAGCTTGTTTTAGCATGTATTCATGCTAAAATACATACCTACCATGTCTTCATGCTATATTTTCTGTTCAACACAAAGTTGTTATGCTTTCTCCAAATTTTACTGAAAAATTTCCTCCTTCTGTTCCCAGAAATAAAAAAACTTTCTGAAATTTTTATGGTACAGCATAATGTTCCACAACTATTTATGTCCATTTAGCAGGTCTAAAATTAAATTAGGAAAAGGAAATAATTGTTCATATATTGTTTATGGCTCTCACCACCAATGCATTCTGATATTTTCATAACCAGAGCATGTAGTTATTATTGGTTTAGACTCATGAAGTTTTTGTCTATTCCTAAATACATATCCATGTGATATGTAAAACAAGATTTATCAACAACTTTGTACAGGTTTGTTCCTCATCTTTTGTGCTTCTTTGGAATATCCCAACAAAACAAAACCCTAACTTTGAATTTCACAGTAACCTCATCAGTTGTTATATCTTCAGTTTGATGTTATGCTACACGAAAAGAATTATTTGTTAAATAAAATGTTTTTAAAATTTTCCAGAAACTATTACGACTCATGTAATTTTTGTCTAGTTTTTGGTCTTGATTTACAAAGTGTAAATGTTTTATTAACAACATACAGTGATCAGGAGGATAATTTATCTAAATATTGGAATTCCCATAAATTGGCCAATATTCAAGCAAATTATCCTTTTTAAAATGTACATTAGGAAAACAGTTGCCTTTTTTTTTTTTTTTTTTTTTTTTTTTTTTTTTTTTTTTAAATTTCATATGCTTTGTTTCAATTCAGGTAGAAGAATGCAATTTTTTTTTTCAGAACCAATACATTTTCAACAGATTTTGAAAAGCATAATTGATTCATTTATCAAAAAATTACATTGACTCATTCTTCCTCTAAAACTTATGCAAAGAATCCAATTTCTGATTTTAGCATTTTGGTATCTCGAATGCCACTATGGTACTCTGTGATAATTCTACTTCCAATGAAAAGATGTCAGTTCATTAGTGATATTGCAAATAAATTGGTGTAAAAGATTTGTTTGCTTATCTCTACTGCTAATACATATCATTCTATTCATAAATAATAATAAAAAAAAGAAGCATTTCATAAAAGCCAAGAAATTTTATGAGAAAAAAGCAAAGAGTTAGTTATATCTTTATATATATATATATATATATAATGCTGATCAGTGTATTGTAACTGGAAGCTGAAGTCCTACCAACCGTACAAATAGCAAGTTATTGCTTCATCTTAAATAACTCGCAAAATATAGAAGAAAGTTTAAATAACCTTTTTACTTCCTTGTATGAAGTAATGTAATTGCAAAAAATTTCGGTTATCATATTTCAATGAAAATATCCATTTTGACTGCTCTTGATTCCATTTGAACGATGTTTTCTCATTACATCTGTACATGCAAACGGAATTAAAGGTGTTTTTTTTTTTTTTTTTAAACCAAAGCGGATTGTAAAATAGATTCAAAAGAGACTTTTTATGACATCTTTACATACATGTATATCTCCCATAACTCAAAAACAAGTAGCCATAGAACATTGGAATTTTGTGTATGGGACTGCTATAACATGTAGTTGTGCACCTCCATTTTTCAATGCAGTTGACTGTACAAAATGTATATATATATATATATATTGATTGTTGGATGCATACCTGTGAAGTTCATATTGCTGTGCAGGTGGAGACAAACTAACATATGGCTAATAAAATCTGTTTTGTGCTGGTTTTTATATTTACACCATGTTAACACAATCTATTATTTAGAATTGTGCATAAATTTTGAGTGTTGTTTCATATTGAAAATTTGTTTTGCTGAATTAAAGTTGTAAATAAAGCTGTAAACAAGCCATACCCAAATTACTTGTTAACATATCCAATAATTTCTGAATGTTTGCCAACTTGAATTCTGTGGATCGTTTTTCAACAAAAAAAGTTTATCAAAGAGTATAATCATCTTTTTGCCAAGGAATAACTCATTTGATGTCTTACCAGTGGTATTATATTTGGGAGTTCTTAATGCATGTGTTAATTCATTAACAGCTTTCCCTGTGTTGATAGTATTTTACTAAACAGCTATGGCTAATTTTAAGTATATTTCTGTTCACCTGCTCTATGATATTTGACTTTGATTGATAAGGAACCATATAAAAGTGTTTTATGTCATACATATTTCCTCAAAAATTTGCATACCATTTTTGAAATAATTTTAATTGAATCTCTTTAGTTTGATACAAATTTATTTAAAAATGAATCTGCAACAATTTTCGTAGATGCTTTTGTGGAGGGAATTTTTTCTATCTGCTTGAAAAAATGTTCAACAATCACGAATAAATACCCATATTTTTTTAATACCTAATAGATCAAATCCTACTATTTTATTAGGGAATGTGGCTTTTAATTCATATAAAATATTTAATATTAAACTCACTGGAGTAATTGATTTTAATTCATTATAATTTGTTACTTAAGTATAGAACAGAAGGCTTTGAATAATTACGTAATTTGTAACCCTGTTCCTCATTTGCATTATGTCATAACATTCAAAATCATTGGGTTCTTTCTAATAAACACCGATATTTTTAATTTCCAGGTCTATTTGCAGTTTTGAAATAATTGTTTCTCGTGAACATAAAATTTTAGAAGTTAACAGGGCACATTTTACTTCATTCTCTTAGCATCTAGTTTAATTTGTGACAAGGCATCATCTGCAATGTTTTCTTTCCCAGAAAAACATTTAATTATTAAATTGCATTCTGTAAGTTTAAGAGCCCATCTTATGTGTCTAGATGACAAACTCTTCCCTGTAGATAATTTTAGCCTATTGTGTATAATTCAATACATTTAGAGTATTTTCAAAGCAACTTTTATTTTTGAAATAAATAATGAATTTGAAAGTGAGCCAAAATATGTACTGTGTGCTCCTTATGTTACAATTTATATATATAGTGTCAAATTTTTTGCAGCCTTCTGTAACATCACTTCAGACACCAAAACTTCTAAAAAATTACAGGAAAAAACGTTCTGGTAAGTGAAATCTCTTAATGATTGACATGCTGAATGATAGCTGAGACTACTGCTAAATTATTAATCAGAAAATCTTGTTAAACTTTATTAAATGGTGAAATTCAATTATTTTTAATATCTGATTTTGAGAAAAGGTAGCTTAATTTCATTTTTTAGGAGTACAGCAGCCATTATTCTGTGAGAGAAAACTTCTTTATAAAAGTTGTTTCCATATATTTTATCAAAGATTTAATAAGTATAGTGGTATTTTCATAAAATTTTAATATTTGCTTGTGCATTCCTATTGTTTTTTTACTTATTTTACTGCTTGAAATTTCAGAGAGAGAAATTATGTAATGTATATCATATTTGAATTGGAAGGCCAAAGAAAAAACAAAGGATTTTTTTAGCAGATTAAAAGCGAATAGATATACTAATACATAATATACTGAATAATATACTGAATGTATTAATAGATACACTAATATTATATGTTTTTAACATCTCAGTTGCAGTTTTTGTTTTTAATAGTATTCTTTTTCCTTTTCCATTGTACTTTGCTAACCATCTCATAAATCTGTAGACATTATAGACAAACAATTTTTTCCCTTTTAAACTATGAATTTTAAATATAGAAATTCTTATTATTGATATAGGATTATTAGGATGAAATTTTTAAAGTAAAGCTGAAGGAGTCAGGTTTTTTAATTCAGAAACCAAGCTGATAACTATGTTGAGTAAATCGTAATAAATATTAAACCAAACATTGAAAACCTTGGGGTTTAATCTCTCATAAACGGTTTGAGTAGATGTAAAAAAATCTTACACACATCTGCTATGAATAATAATCATAATTTTTTCTAGTTTTTAATGAACCCTTGTCTCATAAGTAATAAGTAATATGGTTAATGTTGTGTATTGATGATGTTAAAGAATGAAAATATCTCATCTTCATTGATACATTAAATAATGTAAATATTTAAATGCTTTTTGTTGTATTTTTGATTTCCTGTGATGTTGCAGTATTTCCTATTGTTTTATTTTTTTAGAAGGACAATTTTACATTTATATAATTATTGCATCTTTAATTTAATTTGGCCTCATGCCTTATATTTAAGTGTTTATTTGTGGCATAGAATTTTAGATCTTCTAATCCTGAGCACATTGGCTTTGGAATTATAAAAAATAGATCAATTAGAAATTGAGATATATAAAAAATTTCGTACTTAAGGGCCTTTGACGACAATTTTTGTAGCAAAGTCGGCGACATTTGGCAATTTCTCGCCAACTTGGCAACTGTTAAGAAGATTCAGGAAAGCTAATTTTCAAAGTGGTCATTAAACTAATTTGAATGACCAGTTCTTCCAGAAGTTTTCTGAGCCCTTGCTTCAGGGTATAAATATTGATCAGAGAGCTTGGAGTTCAGTTGTGAATCAGCTGTGAGACTTAGTAGTTAGCTGAACTATGAGTTAGGGCCTTGCCCTGAGAGTGATTTGAGGAAATTTAGGATTTATTTCATACATTAAGAAGGAATTGTTGACTATCCATGTTCTCCTTGAAGTATTTCCAGCCATTGTTATACTCTGTGTATAACAATGGCTAGTATTTATTATGCCTATTTTCCTAATAAATCATCAATTTCTTCCTGCTTCTCTGGGTTTATTATTTTGAGCAATAATTAACGATCCCACAGCTCGCCACAACTAGTGTCAAAATTTAGGATTTCTTTGAATGCTGATAACCAAGAGAATGGAAGAGCAGCTGAAAGTCAAAATGAAAATATCGGCGCAGATTCTGCCGACATCAATGAAAGCAAATGCTGCAGAAGTAAAGGAAGAACTCCATAAGTGCCTCTGAGATGAGGAGAGAAGCAGCAGAAATGAAGACCCTTACAGAAGCAAATACTGCGGAAATGAAGAACTCCGTCGAAACAACTGCCACCAAGATGAGGGAGGAATTGGCAGAAAAGTGCCTTGTCAAAAGTACGAAAGAAAGTACCTTGTCTACCCTTACTGAAATGAAGGATATTGACACTGTCGAAAGAAAAATTGTTGGTGGTATGAACAAGAAAATAGCTGCCATAGAAAAAAATTTTGAAGAACGGTTAAAAATGTAACATCATTTCTAAATGAAGTTTCAGGTCTGAACGAAGGACTGGAGAAAGAGATTCTAAGACTAGAATAGAAAATTGTAAAACCGGTTTCATCCATGAACAATGCACCAGCTCAGCCCGCTTTGAATATTCCAGCTGGTTCTTTGAATAACATTCTGACCCATTTATTTCCTTCTGCAATTAAGCTGTGACCAAAGCATTAAATTTGGCAGCCTGTTTATGAGGAGAGGTCATGGGCGTCTTACAGACACTGCCACTCGAAAAACATTCAAATATTAATGCCTCAATTAATGGCCTAGAATTTCAGTTAGAGAAACATTCTTGAGAGATTAATACTGCTTAACTCTCCCTTGCAGCAAGCATGTGAGATCCTTCCAGAACTGGCAACTGACATCGAAAAGTTAACGCAGGTAGCATTTCCGGATTGTGGGTGTGAAATTAAAGACACATTGAATCTCCAGTATTTTGTGAATGCTGTCAGGGATCCTGAAATACAGTAAGCATTCTTGATAGCGGATAATAAAGACCTGAAGAGTAATGTAGTACATGCCATGAAAGTAGAGACTGCACAAACGCCAGTTGAAAGAATTGTCGACCTGTAGGGATGTCTGCACTCCAGATGACACAATGCTGAAAGCAATGATGAAACTGATGAAAAGAGTGGAGGCGATGGAAGCATCGAAGATGATACGTAGTTAGTAGTTATGATAAAAGGAAAGTATGTATTTCAAGAACATTCTTGAAATTGGAACTGTAATGGAGAAGGACATTTACGAAAACAGTGTTGTGCACCTCCAGCCAAAAGACGAGAAATGTGTTGAAGGAGCAGCAGGGAAACAATGTTCTTCAAATAACCTCTTTTTTCAGTGGAGATCAAGAACTGTGCATGGGAAGAGAAATCAACGATTTGCCATCCTCCATGATAGTAAACATCGGAATAAATATGACTATTCTGTAAGCTGTTCGGCATTTAGCTGATGAATGCTTACCTACTGTATATAGCTCTATTCTTAAATTTACAAACCGTTAAGTGGAGAGAAAATGTCAATGCATTAGAAAATATTGGTGCACATCAAGTTTGCATCATGTGTATGCATAGTCAATATGGCTAATACAAACAATCCATGCATCCTCGGACTTGAATTTCTAAAGATGCATGGATTTTGTTTACCTGTCAAGAATAATTAATTGTGTACTTTTAATAAAAAATACCAATGTTTGGAGTAGATGAAATTGGAATGAGCTGCTCTAGGATAACTGCTCGTGATACTATTACTATCTCTCCAAAAACAGAATGCATAAGCAGTGGTTCTGTAAAAATTCACAAAAATTTATATGTAGGGATTATTGGGTTCCTGAAGGAAACTGCACCTTTGAAGGAACTTTAAATTGTAGCTGCCCTCATAGACTTAACAAAAGAAAATGTGTCTACCAGAATTGCCAACATAAGTGACAAATCTTGTACTTTAATGAAAGGAGAGGAAATTGCTCCATGTTCTCCTTGACAAGTATTGTGCAAAGTTTCATCGATCGGAAGCAGAGTACACCTGAAATAAAAGATTTAATTGAAATTACAGAATTAAATACTAAATAAATTAAAGCTGCAAGCCATTTAATATAATTCAAAAATCTTGCTTAGTGATGTTAGTTACATGAATGTAACACAAGATTGGATTTACACGAAGTTGGGAAGCTTTTAAATTATATGCAGAATAATGCTATTATTCAGCCATCGTCTAGTCCTTGGGCATTACCTATCGTATTAGTTCAGAAGAAAAACGGTTCACACGATTTTGTGTAGACTACAGATGACTAACTGACATTGGAAGAAAAACAGTTACCTTTTGCCTCCAATCGACAACACCTAAAACACGCTAGCAGGAATGTGTGTATCAGCATTTTGAACTGTACAGCACTCCAGCAACATTCGAACTTCTAATGGAGATAGTTCTGAAAGGGCTCTTGTATGAAGCATGCCTTGTGTATCACAACGACGTTATTATTATTGGACGCACTTTTGAAGAACATTTAGAAAACATCCGAAAAATACTATAGAAACTCAGAGAAGCTAACTTACAACTCAGTTCTTGTAATTCAATATAAATTATTTTATCGAGAAGTTAGCTATCTTGGCCATATTATCTCTGCTGAAGGTGTATGCACAGATCCTGAGAAAATCAAAGCTGTTCATAATTGTTGTCGCCCGCAAGACATTCATTAGTTAAGAAGCTTTTTTGGCCTCTGCACTTACTAAGGAAGATTTCTCAAAGATTTTTTTCAAATCGCAAGGTCTTTGCACTGCCTGACAGAAACAAAGCAAAAATATTTGTGGTCCGATGAATGTGAAGAAGCATTTAAAATCCTCAAGAATGCTTTGAATTCCTCCTGTGTTGGCTTAACCCCACCCGAAATACAGCTTTATTCTCAATACATATTAGTCTCGATAAAATGAAGTACTTAGCTCTTTCACACGAAATTAATGAACAGGACTATGTCATTACCTATTTTAGCAGAAGTTTATCTAAGCCAGAAAGAACTGTTAGCCAGGCAGTAGAATATTTCCACCATTAACTGTGCGGCCAAACAAGCCTGTTGCATGCTTACCATATATCATTAAATTGGCTACTTATAAAAATTCCAGAGGGTTAAGTGGATAGATGGGTACACTGGAGTATGATATGGAAATCCGACATCGCAAAATAACTTTGCAGGAGAATTCTTATTTCAAGAAGACCTTATGTAGGAAAGTGCAAATACTTTTCAAAAGCTGAGTTATAACTTTAAAGTTCCAGTTATCGGACAAATAAGAACACACTCTTTTATATCAGAGACTGATCTCTGGAGCACTATAAAATTGTGAAATGCCCAAATGCAAGATCCTGAATTTAGACTTAATGGAAAGAACAAA